CCCCGTGTTTTTTGCCCATAAACGCGTGGTGTCATAAGGAGGAGGGCAGAGTGGCAAGCACGTGTTCTGTCCTGTGACAGCTAATTCAATTCGCCTCGGAGCCGTCGGCTCTGTATTTGATCAGACTACGAGCTGCTTACTCGAAAGTACAGCACATACAGCCGCCCCACCCATTTCCCTTTGGCCCGCACTCGCTTCCATAACACTTACATATAAGTTCCACATGTTCTCTTGACAGGAGTTCACCCCCACCCTTCTACGTCCTCACCTTCCTATTGCAAACTCCCATTTCTCACTCTCCGCAGAGCGCCACTGCATGGAAAAGGAAGGAAGTCGTTTGTGTTGTTGCTGGGATTCAATACCACGCTGACACCTTTGAACCTTCACTCAGGGTTATGCAATGTACAAATACAATGTGTGCCGTCTTTCTATTAATGCCTGTTCCATCTCACTCTCTGATGTGAGAGCTAGCTCTGTGATTTCATTCCAGTCCCAGAATGGCTTAAGACTCCTCATTGAACAGTGAAAAAATAAATCAATATTAGCCTAGAGCAGATAGAAAACAGATGTGACCTAGTGTAACTGGTAAGCATCTGGAGATTTGAGCTCTAGAATACTGCTTTGTTTTTAGAAGGACTCTACTATCTACATGATCTCCAATTTGAAAAACAAAATTCTCAGTTTCAAGTGATTTTGAACAAATCAGTTGAAAATTGTATTTTGTGATCACATTTGTTTATTGATTTTAAGATATACATTATAAATGAACCATCCATTACAATGAATATACACACTATCCATTACAATGAAAACACTGCTATGATCACAGATTCCCAAATTGCCAAATACTGGTTGTTATGATCTAATTTGCCTAAATTTAATTAAGTAAAGGTTAATCAAAGTTGAACTGCGGACATAGTTAGTAATCCAATTGCTGATAAATGACTAAATAATATTTGAGATCAATTTAAATTACTAAGTAATTCGCACTCTGACAAGGTGAAGATAAAGCTCTTAAGGGAAAGTAAAGGGATCAGTTCAGTTATTTTTTATTCTGAGGGGAACATGTATGTTTACAAATCTCATTAATTCATCCAATAGTTGAAGAAACACTTCACTTAAACCCACAACTGTCAACACACGGGTGTAGCATGCTAATGAGCAGATGTTGTCTTCATTTATTCCCTCTATTCATCTATTTTGGTTACATTTGAACACATCAACTCTCCTAATTACTCTTTATACCTTTTTACCTTCTTCTTCCTGATAGTTTCAACGTTTTCTATTATGTAGCACCATCAGAGAAAAAACAACACGTCCAAAGTGAGTTCACTGCGTCCTTTTGGATTCCCGACACCGTTAGTCTACCTCGGTACCTGCCAGAGAACAGAAAAACAAATACCACGTCGAGTTTTTCTGCATGTAGCTACTGAAGCTGCGAGTCAGCTGCAAACGCAATGTTCTCTCTCAGAAACGCACCTCACAAACGGTGATAAAGGTGTTTAAATGTGTCAAAGACTCAATAAATAATGATGAAAGATGCCCTGCTTCGAAATGTTGGAAATGTGGGAAATCGGGTGCCACTGACATGCACATGGTGGTATGTAGTTTTATCCAGAAACTTCCTGGAATGGAGAAAGTTCAGGAGATCAATCACAAATGTTCAGATGTAGAACATGCACCCGTTGGTTGAGCATGAAATGACCGACCTATGAAGAGCTGCTACGAAGACTGTTTGACTGTTACGCAATGCAAAGACGTCATGTAGGGCTCCTCTCACGCTACAGATCTCCAACCCAAGCACGTCCTGCCCTACGAAAGGAACTAAAGGGGTCACAAATAACACATCTGAAATACCAAAAAGCCACAGTGGAGTGCGGCCAGCACAAAGAATCGCCAGACTTTTCTCCTGACACGCATTCAGAGAATTTCAGTAGCTGGGCAATATGAAAATGAGTGGAGAATGAGCCCATGTTCAGTCCACTTTGCCTTCTCAGACCTCCTTCACGGTAGTTTCCTTCTCAAAACACACCCGACAGGCCACGAGCGATCAGCGAAATCGAATAGGTTGTTCTCAACACCGGCTTGTTCTTGACTTAAAGTGTCCAACCCATAAGACACTAGTGGGTCAGTGGGGCGATTTTCGCTTTCTATTGACGAGTGAACTGCAGTAGAGAAATGACTTGGATGAATAAAGATAAGTTAGTGATTGGTGAATCTTCAGGCTCAAATTCAGGATTGCCCATGCTAAGCCCCACTTTATTTTATGTTTATCACGGGCATAGTTATATATTGTAACATGGATTTATTTGTCTTTATTCAAACGTTTATTTATTCAGGATTTTCTAAGGCAGGCAATATAAGAACAAATGTTGTCACACGTTTGTTGTTATTTTGTTAGCACCCCTTGATTTTGGGGATTCACCGTAAGCATCTTGTTTTCGCGCTCCACCAATTGTTTTTGCAACACAAGGAATGGAAACTGAGCAAAAAGCACCCGGGGTTGAAACGCTTATGGGTGTTAAGGGTGAGTGTTGCTGCAATAAACAACAGAGACCACGGACCACAACTAAGGAGCCGAGTTTTGTTTCTCTTTTCTTTTTTTTACAGTATGTTTATGCTGAATGTCAAACTGAAAGGGAAATTGTTGTAATTGCATAAAACGGGAAGAGAATTTTGTGGATTTTTGTTAACTGCATTGTGGACGATGAAATGGAACTTTTCCCGGCCCTACCGATGTTGGCGGGAGCTTCTATTGTGGCTTCTATTACACTGCATGTCTCAGAATAAAGCTCAGGAGCCTTTAAGCAGTCGACGGTTCAATCCCGCCTACGACAAAGTAATGTCCCAATGCAACTAAACTGCATTATCACTTAAGATCTCAGATCTTACTAAATGTCCGGTGAGATTAAAATTTTTTTCATACATTTGTAGCAGCACCAAAAGACTACTAAAAAACTATGTCCTGTGTTTGCTTGAACCATTCCATGGATCCTACGTCTTTCCTGTTCTGACTTTAACGGAGTATCATTCAAAATCTATATTTTTTATATGTCAGAAACACACAAAATATTTCTCTCAAAACAAGATGAAATTAGTTCATGAGCCTGTTATTTTTTAGAACACACTGGTGAAGTTTTTTCCTTTCCTTTCCTTGCACAGTGGGAAAGTCTGAGATGCAGCCACTGGATTTTTCAGAAAGAAGTTTTTTGGATTGAAGAGGATGTGTGAAACAAATAGCATGTTGGGTATTTAGCACAAATGTAGTAGTTAGTGATCTAACACTCTGGTCATCACCAAGGAGAGAAATGTTGCTGTCGAGATTTCAGACATTTTTCCCATCCAGTTGAGAGCAAACACACTTCACGGGTGTTCACACACACACACACACACACAGGTCTGACCAGATGTTTACAGTTGCCAGGTTAAACACGGGCTGCATATTAATCTCACCCAGCGACAGAGATTTATAACTGTAGTGTGTACTTGGGATAACTGTCCCAGCCAAGAGTTATGATTAGGACTTCAGATTGTTAACAAACACGGTTATATATGAACGGCAGAACATTCAAAGAAGCTTTATCTATTTCTTAAAATACATTTTCCATAAAAATGTGTCCAAAACTCTTGCAGGCCTGACTGAGTGCTGATAGAGATCAAGCATGACCCTGCCGTGGTCACTCCCTTGTTTTTCATCTCAGGCTTGTTAGCAAATTGCTTCCTGCCAAAGCTGTGTGATTCTCAGTTGAATTGTTTAGAAAAGGAAATGCTGCCGTGATTTTTGGAGATGGAAAGTTTCAGTTTTGTACATATATAGACACAGGACGTGTGTTCTGGGCTCCTTTTAACGTCCCCTCCCACAAATTTCACTCTTGACTTCCTGAAATTCAAAAGTTATCAACAAGTAGATTTAATACATCACACATTGTTCTGTAGCACAACGACACAAACACATGTGAAACACACAGATGAAAAATAATATTTTGCACCCTCCTTTTGGCTAAATATTTACCCTCAAAAACGTTCACACAGAACTCCCCAAATAGAGAACACAACTGTGAACGTTTTTGGCTGTTACTACTTCCCTCCTTCCTATGAAATAGCCCATGTGAACACTGTAAACATCTTCATATTCAGAGTTACTCCTTTCACAGTCTGGAAGCACTCCAGATACCAAAATGTATGTTCGCAAGCACTGAAGAAAGAGTGTGTCGACCGAATATGCAGGCTGTAAAAATTGCGATTGCCAAGACAAATCAGAAAGGTGGCATGGGCTGGGCTTATCGTTTCCCTTGTTGTGTTCTACATGAGGCCGGCCAAAGCCCCCACCTCGCACTTAGCTCAGCCTGTCTGCTACACCCATGGCATTTCCTGAGAGTAAAAGAGGGATCAGGCAAAGCTGGCAAGAAGCACCCATTCGAATAATGGATACCAGATGAAGGCTTGGTATAAACATAGGTGTGCATGTGTGAGTGTGTGAGTGATTGGGAGCAAATCCCCCCCCCCCCCCCCTGTAAACCTCTCCGATGTACTTTTACACACAAACCTTTCCTTCTTTAAGAAGCCTGCAGGATCTTTGGCTCCATCTGCCCCCCCCTCCCGTTTTCTCCTACGTGCTCTTTGCCTTTGTACAAGGAGATGAATCAAGCGATGGCTCCATCGAGAGGTCTTTTATTTTTAGACGCAGGGGCAATCTCCAAGACGTCCAATAGGAAAACATTCTGATACAAAGAACACTAGTTTTGACATTCTTGAAATGTTTTGCTGAACATAAACAAACCCCCACAGCTGCATGGAAGCACACACAGAAGAGTAGCTGATTACACCCAAACATAATATTTCCTCCCGATAAGCTCAAATGGATTTTAAAGTGGAAGTTCGGTTGGTTTAGGGGCCTTTCTTGTGTTTTTTTCACGTGGAAAATAAAAGCCCATCTGATGCATCACGCCTCTTTTTTTTTTATCCCCTTTGTGTCTTTAGGTGTGTGGTTTAACTCTTACCTTGACTTCACATTTCTTGTGGCATGCTATTCTGCACACTAGAGAAAACAGAGAGAAAAAATGGAATTAACTTCACAGCTCATAAAAATCTCCCAAATATTGTGGACCAATCCAAACACTGTGGCCCAGCATGAATCATGACATTAAGTAGTTGTCAAGGAAGTATGAAAAAGTGAGAGGTTAGTACACATTCCAGCGTGTTTGTTCTGTGATCAAAGTCAAATATCATCTGTGGTTTAATTCACTTAAAGATCGTGATCAGCAGAGTTGGACATGACACGTGAAGGTGAGATGAATGACGACAGGTAGGTAGACAAGCTTGGACATTTTGTATTCACCATGAGAGAGCAGAGCTTCACAGAGAGCTCCACAGATGTTCCACAAAGAACATCACTTTCCTCTCGGCACAGCACTTGTTTTCCAGACTGAAAGAGAATATCTGTCCAGTGAACAATTTCTGATATTTGTCCTGGCTCTGTTACGCACACGTACAATAGTCCACCTTCGCCCTTTGATTGGGACATTGGGACAGAACAATGTCCAATGGCAATACAATACAACACATAATGTCTCTGGATGTTAAAGCACCATGCTCACAATAAACAAGTAGTAATACGCTCATTTTTACCATGAACAGCATCTTGGTTTAGCTTGTCATGATTCTGATCGCATGTCAAACTGTTAATCCATCAGTAGATGTCATGAGGTTTCACAAATGATCAAAGAGCGGAAGAATGTGAGTGTTTCCACATGAAAATGTAAGGACTCACCAGAGAGACCACGAACATGTTAACTAAATATTATTTCTAAGCTACTTTAGATGTGGACATATACACTGGAACATATACACTCAGGCCTGCTGTTTGTACTAGATGGAAAGTCAGGTGATTACCAAAGTAATTTAATTGGGGACCTTAAATGGGGATGAAACGTATGGCCAACTGATGAAAGCATAGGTTTTGCAGTATTATAAACTAGGTGATTGTGGCCATAGGGCCTGAAACCCAGCAATTACAGCTCATATGTGCCGCCAAAGAGAAGTAAATAGAGACTATAACTTCAAATATCTTCGCTAAATCACGGCAATCCATCAAATATTTAATGAGATATTTCCTTCTGGCCGGTGGAGGACCGACCAATCACACAACACTGCTGCTCGCATGACAAAACACACAACAACCCAATAGAGTCACTTCTATATTTACAAATCCAAATAAAGAATACCACCGGCATCTACTGGACTCATGTTCCTGACCAACTGGTAAGTGTAAGTCCAATAGTTGCTCAACAGCTTTGTTTTGGACACCGTTATGTGGCTCTTTGGCCGCTAAATGCTGCACTGCGGTCACCGGCTAGCTGGTGGCTTGGTGTGCAGGCTTTTTGATGCCGAGCAGCGAGTTATGCAGTGGGTTTAGTTGCTTGCATTGGCTGGAAACAACACTGATGAGAGAACAGAAAACTGAAGCGCTTAAGTTCTTCTGTAACCGTCCCCAGTCTTATGTAATTCATACAAATCTAGTGCAAAAAATATAAAAGATATCGTTCTACTGTTGAATTTCAACACATTTTTTTGCAGCTTCCCTTCTGCCCCGCTGCCCTCTCTCTGTGCGGGCCCCCGCTGGATCTACAAATAAGGGTCAATAGTGAGCGCACCTGGACCAGCAGCTCATAAATTGCGGGACAGAGAATCAAAACACAGCCCAGCGTGCCGAGGCGTAAGCTTTCCAAATAAAGGAGGAGTTTGTATGCTTTCACTGGAACGCCCTACACCTTATGTAACGAGTTATTCTTCCTGTCTCCAGACACATTTTTCAAAGCGTGTGTAATATCTATTGTGATTAGTTGTCATTGGTATACATTGCGTGAGTGGAGGTTGTGTTGTGTCGTAGGTTTTCCGTAGCCTATATGAATGTATATGCCCCAGATACACAGTGTGCTTCTCACACCCTGCGTTCTCTCTGATGTATGTCCCTTAATCACACGAGATAATTATCACACACGGCCTTTTGTTCCTGGAACCATGTGCTCTGGTGGGCATTATGGAATTTTTATCCTCTCAGGGCAGGATTCTTTTTTTCAAGGTCTTTGGAAAGTCGCATTTTGAACAACTTTGCGTGGGCAAGACGAGACCACGTGAGCTGAACCTTTTTCAACTTGAGCCAAAACAAATCCCGCTCATACCGGGGCTTTGACGAATGGGCTCCATCAACGTACAGAGACGTGAGGAAACGGAAGAGAGGGGCTGAGCCGAACGCAAATACACAGGTTCAATCCCGCACACAGTCAGCGCGACGGTTGCCAGCTAGCTCAGCGCTATCGTCTGTGCAGTCGCTTCACTGGCTGTTTGGGGCGTATTAACACAAACGTCCAGCGTTCAAACTTGAGAATTCTTCTGTGCTTCTCATTGAGCAAATATCCGGAGGCCACCTGCGGACCTCAGAAGAGAAGCTATGCAGAAGTAGCCATTGCCATTAAAACTTTCTTTTTTACACACTTTACTGACCAGAAGGGTCTCATTAGCGATTGAGACCAGCATGATGTTAATTCAGTACATTATTTAGATTAAAATAGGTATGCCTTAGAGCGGGACTATCTTGTGATTGACGCTGTCGTTACCGTGGTGTCGCTACGGACAGACTGGGAGTTGTCTGTGTTTGAGGCTTTTCCAGTTCCAGATTCCAGTTGCCTACAAATGTCTAACTCAGCATTCGCCATGTGATATTAAGAGGCCAAAAAATAGCCACGGCTAAAATACAGATATAGTAGTAGTCCACAGCAATGGCTGTCACGTCAACTACGTCCACCTCTTATATACAGTCTATAGCTGATATTTGAGTTCAATTGCAACAGACGTTTAGCACTTATGCTTGGATTGTTTTGAATGACTTCACAACAAGAACAAGAATTCATCAGCTATCGACATTTCTAACATTGTGTTTAAAACAAACAAATGTTTTAAACCCTTTATTATTGCTCAACAAAATGTGTAGCTTCTTCTAAACAGCTTGCGCCGTATTGGGGGTTAAAGGTTAAGTGTGCTTTTCGACCTTTTTCAGCGGACTTTTGTTTGGTTCTGGTTTTGTTCCACACATCCAACATCACTCCTTCATTTTGAGGAGATTTACTTGATTGACATCGTCCTCCTCGTGTACCATATAAGGCATGAAGCAAAATGATGCTCCCTGTTTCATGTACATCTGCAAGACGAGGAGTGTGAGAAGCCTCCTTTTCAGAGCCAAATGTGTCATTACATGATGGGGCAGTCCGTTTCTATTTCAGCACATGCGGGACTATATTTGCTCTTGGGGGGTAACATTTGAAAGTCAGTTTGACTTTTAAATTAGAGGCCTTCAAATGTGGGTGGCACATGAAGTCCTACTGGAATACACAGTTCCAAGTCTTCTAAAGCACTTCAGTTCCCAGCGTCACACCGAATGGAGATCTTATAGACAACTTGTGGGGGACACACAATGAGGAAAGACTCTGACAAGCATAACAGAAAACGTTTCCATATTTTCTTCATGTTTTGGGATCCATCGTTTTGTCTAGAAGTCTTAATATTGTGATATTAAATCAATTGGGATAAGCCGTCACAAGAGCACACGGCGACGTCTTCAAAAGCTTGATTGGTGAGACGTGGTTGCAAAACGTAAAGATATTCCATTAATGATGCTAAAAAATACTGAGGAACCAGCTATATCGATCATTTGAGGAACTTGGACCAGTTAATAATATACTGAATAATTCTGCATTTCTGCTAAAACATTTGATGATTATCTAACCCGGCAACAGATGAATTATTTTGGCACTACTATTTTAAACTGTCTTTGTCCAGGATAAGTGTGCTCTATTATTGTATTGGAGATATGGAGAGAGAGAAAGCACACTGAGGCCTGCACCAAGCTTTTCATAAGTCTTGATGCAACGTGAGTCACATGGAATGCTCTCACAGATGTGACATTTGAACATTCTTGGCCGTTTGCTTGATAAGCATGAAAAAAGAAAACGTCCAACAGGGCACCGTTCCCAGCACGTGATTCCCCAGTAAACAACACGCCTCGTGGGCCACATGGGAAGGAGCAGGACATCCATATTGGGTGTGAAAGCGCCCCGGCCCAGAGAACCCCGCATGGGCTTTACCTTCTTAGGAAGTCGCAGCTTCGGAGAATAAACAGAGCAGAAATGTTCCTGGTGGAGGGACGGATGAAGGGGAGGAAGAAGAGAAGAGGTTGGCGAAAATATGAAAAGGGTGAATAACCCGAGTGGGAGAGCAACAACTGCTCACATTAGTCATTGATCAGAGGACAGCCGGGTCGACAAGAGGAGATGATGAGGAGAGTGGACACCGAGTTGCTGACTGTGGGTCTGAGGTATGCTACACAACACAACGGTGGGAGGGCGGAGGGGGAGAAAGGATGGAGGTGGGTGTGTGTGTGTGTGGGTGATTTCCTCCCCCGGGTCCCTTGGAGTGAGCTTATGCTCCCACAGGGCTGGGCTGGACCCTTTGTAACGCTGGACACAATCCGAGGGGCAGGGCCGGAGAATCCACCCCGTTATTCACGCCATCACTTTTCCTCTCTTTCTGGGGCACAATCACAACACGTGCACACACATTGTACATACACAGTCCTGTCGGATGACACCTACCAAAAGCATTTATTATTGTATTTAAATGTAGTCTGATGTGTTATTGCACAATTCTCATCCTTGAATAACTCGCACTGTTGTAATACTGTTATGCTACTTGGGCCAAAGACACAAGCAGACTTACATGAGTTTACTTCCTACTTTTAACTATTATATTAAAAGTCTCTAATAAAAAACCCTTTACAGGTTGTAAACCCCCAAACCTAATTACTATGCATCTTTTATAGCTACTTGAAACCTCATCTTAAGGATTTTTGTATGTCAGTGGTGCTATGAAAGTTTCTAAAGCGGGAAAAAACATTTACTTAATTCAAACTCATTCAGATTGCAGATGTCCATACATGTTTTCAATACGGGAAATAACTAACTGATGTGTGATAACGGGAAAAAA